GGGAGAGAAGGGACACGCATGTATTGAACGTCGGTCACCATGGAAACCAAACAGTTTACGTCCTTCGGTTATCTAGTATGGTCTGTAGAGAGTAAAGACCCGTTGACTATGGATACTGCAATATTTCCAGCATGCTTTCTGTATACTTCACGTTCTATTTTCAAATCTTAATTTTTGTTGAAGATAATTTTTGTTCTAACGTGTGCATTCTGTTCCTGCCCTCCATTATGTTTTCCTTTTCATATACCAAACATAAACCTCTTCAAAACTAGCTTCAGTTTTTGTAAAGCATGAGAAGTTTACATCTAGTATCAGAATTTAATTATATTCATTCGCTAACAAATGAAAGGAATGTAAATTTATGTTTCAGTACCCTAGTAGCGTTTTGGGCAGATAAGCTAGCCAGACAGGCAGACATCGCTGGTTCGATACCGGCTTTGTATAATATCTTATCACTATGGTCCCAGTGGCTTGGCTATTTAATTATATTGTATTTTAACTTAACATTTTATCGTCTTATGACAATATAAAATACACTTGTGTACGCAAATACTCGATAGCTGCGACATAACAGTGGCTAGGTAGATGTTGAGTAGGGGGAAGGAGATAAAAACTAATGTATTCTGTCGTGAACAAAAATCCCGCTCCTCGTCTAATTTTAGGCTTTTAGGATTCGTCTGGCCATTACCCCAGGACCAGAAATGCATTCCGAGACAGCGGGGTCAGGGTACTAGAGTCTGGGAATACAGTAGAGGAGTCTGGGAATACAGTAGAGGAGTCTGGGAATACAGTAGATACAAAATACGTAAGGTTGAAGATGTTTTGTTGACGAGAAATTCAAAAAGTTGTATTTATTGCTAAAAATTTATTATTGGTGAATTTAGGTTTATGTGGTTTGATAGTTTCGTCGTTATATTGCTTTTGTATACATTTTTTGTGGTCGTGTGTTTAGTAGAAAATATTGAATAATACTTTATCTTTATTGTTGTAGTTCTCTTTTCCATTGTTTGCCTTTGAAACTTTGGTAGCTTGTTTCCAGCTATTGTGTTTTCTAGTGTACTCAAATGGTGTAGGCCTACTCCAGTCTTTAGGTAAAATTTTTAAACAACATGTTTTTTATGCTAGGTATCAATTAATTTAGATTCACAAAGATATTTTCGGGTCTCTTCACTCACATTTTTGAAAACAGGAGAAATCAGTCCTTTTGTCACCAAAGTGCATAACAAACGCAGCACAAACACGCATTTAAAATACGTATACAAAAATAAAAATACCCCCGCCGCAGCAAACCTGCCGACTAAACGATTTTTTTCTGAATTGATTCTCAATTAAATCTATTTAAATAACATTATGTCCAACGAGTTTGCTGCTCACGTTTTGCTACTGGTTTGCTGCTACAAGGAAACCAATAAAGTGTATCTTTTTGTAAAATATTAATAGCTTAGTACAAAATAAATATATTTGCCAAATTTGATCAAAATATATCAATAAATAAGCAAACTACAACATTTTACAATATTCTCCATAAGAATAACATGGGAATTTTTAAATTTATAATTTTGGAATTTCCCCATTACCAATAACCGCGTAAAAAACACTTTGATATACTCAATTATTTGTTTTTAAGCTCTTTTAAAAGGTCTAGAGAGAAATTTGAAATTTTGTGTTTTGAGGGTCAAAAATGAGAAAAGTTATATTTTACCCCATCCCTGTATGTATGTTGCGTTTATGATTTTTCAGGTGCAGAACAGATCATAGATATAAATGCATAAAAACACGGACTTTTTTTCGTCAAATATGAGTAAACTGAGGACTATCTATGGTATACTCAATATAAACGTGTGTTTGATAGCTATTATTTATTTATTCATTTAATTTCACATTGGCTAGCACTTTAACCACTTTAACAAAAATTATAAATTCACAAGCTACTGATTTTCCTGTATCATTTTAATGTTAAATATGAAGAAAAGCATTCACACTGTAAAATCTTAAGTACCCAATATATTATGAACATTTAGTTGTATCAGCACACTAATGCAAATGTGTTACCTTATACTCATACATATAACAGGTATCGTTCAGGCTTCGTACTGTCGTACATGTCTGATACAAATTCCAAGCCCATAGGATTACTCTTCAACCAAAAACTTCAAAATATAAACCACAGGAAAATGTGTTACTCCTGTATTTCTTTCTATGACGTAGCCCCATAAATTTTAAAGTTTAAACCAAGTACTTAAACATTAATTTCGGGTGAAGATATTTTTTACAAAACTGGCGGCTGTAGAATAGATGGGTCTCAGGAAAAATCTTCAAACAAAATCAAAGTGGTAGACGATTTTTACTAGTATTTATTTTCTTAATAAAAAAATTTGTATAATTTTCGTTCTGTCTTTAATTTACATTTCTAAACCCTATTCTGGTATACCTTCGGTATAAACAGTTTCACGTAAACAGCTACCGGTAAGGCAAATTGTAAATTATAGTATAGCTAGTATGTATGTTTTATTGCAATATGCTACGAGTGTTATAAATTAATAGATTCTGTCCAAGTGTCGCAACCAAAGTTCAACAATTGGCGCTTCAAAACTAGGCCACGGGGTCTAAGGTTAACTGAGGGCTCCGCTGAACATCGTTAAATCCAAATTGGGTGGCGAATCGTAATTAAAGTTTAATTTAAAGGAATTGCAATTTTACGCTCAATGTTGATTCTAAACCGAGGATTCAAAAGGTAAGATAGAATTTCCCTATGTAAAATGTATGGTCAAATGTGATAGGCCTACTATACTATTGTGACAAAAACTCATTAAGTTTTGGCAAAATTTATAATGTTTCTTGTATTAGCTATATATTTGACTGGGTAGCTGAGTGTAGTGCTCGCCTGTGGATCTAGAGGCTGCTGGTTCGATCCTAAGAAATGCCTATTTAGGTCTCGGGGTACCTTTGTCAGTGTGCTATTTGGTATGTTATATAACGACAGGGCGACGTTATACAGTACTAAACCAGTGTTTGTACCATATCCATACAAAGCCTTCAATATAGGCTATGTGCCTTGATCCAATCAAAATGTAAACAGATTTCAATGATACCATGCAAAAATTTAAAACTGTAACATTTTCTTAGACAGATCTTAGTTTTGGCATACAATATAGTTAGTATTCTGATTTAAACACTTCATCCTTATGGATTAGCTAAAGAGCTCGTTTGCGTGCGTTCTTATCCGATATTATGCCGGAGCTTTTAGGCTATAAATTAATATATTTTCATTAAACTATTACGTATTTATAACGTGTTAGGTACTGCTTATAATCAAGATTAATTTGAGCAAATAGCTTTGAATTAAAACGAGCCAAGTTCCGTTCCGGAAGTCGGTTGAGTGAAAGTGACGGATGAACTAACATCTGTTGGAAAGTGAGATTAATATTTAAATGAACGTTCATCTCTCAATGGCGCACATGCCGCATGCCGACTAACTGCTGTTACGGTTATTTATAGCTTGACAGTTAGATTGAATTTGAAAAACTAAATAGCCTACTAAACTAGTCTAAAATTTATTTAATAGAAAAATTATTTAGCAGTTAATTGATATATGTATGTGTCAAAGCCTATTGAATTTTTTGTACTGCATGGCAAATAAATCTTTTGAATATTTTAGTCTTGATAAAAGGAGTGTAACGTATAGCCTTCCCATTGTACAGGTCTTTTGAGCAATGTTTTAGTCCCTTTAAAAATGACTGTAGAATATTACGTATTTCTCATGGTATTATTGTCGGATAAATAAGCTTATCAAATAGTTTTACAAAATTATCTGATTTGTCATTGAACTGCGTGGCAGTCTAAAATTTATTTTGGAAAAAGGTAAACAATTATTCGAGAATAGCCTAAGCACTGTAACTTTTTTATTTATTTCCTTGGACTTTTTTAATAAGCTTGACACGGTAACACCATTTCGTAGAGTTCTAACGAATTTTAAGATCAGGATATAGAGACATATTACAACAATTTCCCAGGGTTCGTGGTTCATTGTTGTTAATTTCTGCGTTAAATTGTGAATTGTGCGACAAGTGCTAAATAAATCTTTCATATTCGCTCATGATAATAAAAGAAGTAAAAATAAGAATGAGGAGACAAAGCGTTGGAGTGTGTATGTACCTACCATAAAAAATTATTAAAGCTGGTTCATTGGGATTACTTGTTATGGAATTAATTGCTTGAAATAGGATCATTAATTAGTCCGTCCCATGTTTCACGATTCCATTGTAAATAAATGCAATGCATTGGAATATTTTGATTCATACGAATCTTACTGAACAATTAATTGTCATTTAAACAGTCGCAAAATCAATATGCTATCGCGTGTGAGATTCGAATAAAATGTGATTGGTATTTAACCTTGTTCAACACGACAAGTTAACATCAAGATTTTGAAAGAAGTTCAAAACACGGCGTAAATGGTAATTGTGTTATTTATTACACATTTACATAAGATAATTATTCTATTAATTACAAATGTAGACGCTAAATTGATTATTGGGTGTGAGACTAGACATTCTAATGACAATATCGTAGTTTTTAATGCTAGACAAATGAATAAAACTCTTATTGTACAGTAGGTAGTTATATTTTCGTAAAGCAGTAGATCTCCATTTAATAACTCAATTTTCCAAAGTCTTTTACTCGAATTAGGCCTACATTATAATGATGCATTAAAACGCAGTTACGATCAACATAACAGTAAATTGCGTGTTAAAAGACATTTGTAAAACTATTGCAGTGTTTGATGGATTATTTGGATATTGGATGCAGTTTTAAAATCAATTAACAGTAAATAACACAACTAACAAAATTTAAGTCTATTCAAAATCATGCAATACTGATAAGACGTAAACATTCAAATATCTTCACCTTTTTCGCCCTTATCCCATAATTATTTTTAACCTCTAATTGCTAAAACTACCCTTCTACATTTTCTATTCATAAGTGCATTCCAGGCATACCGTAAACAAACGGGTAAGTTAGTGTTTGGCGTTGTCACTGCCACTTGGATTTCGTCGCTCTCTGCCGCCGGTCCAAACGAAGGCACTGACGACTGACATGACGATCGATAAGATAAGGATAACAGAACCGCCGTGCGTGTCGAAAACCGCGCGGAAAATCTGTCCGAAACTGTCCTGCACTTGGCCACAACAATCCGAAGACATGAATGGCGCACCACCTCTGTCACTCACTCACACCACACCGGCGGGGAACGATCAGCTGGCGTGGTCAGAATACGAATACACTTTCACCACAACATTCTTGGTCTGGTTATGTAATGTTAGGTTGGCACAAGTGGCTGTCAGTGCTGCCACCTGGACGAGAACTGCGCAACTGTTGGCTCGCAGTTGTGCCAACCACCAACCGCAGGCAAGAGATTTACCACGATTGAAAGTTATCCCAATTTTATCCCAGTGTGCAATTTTAGTTGTGTTGTGAGTTATTCACTTAGGAGAATGGTAATTTTGTATCTATTGCTTTCCAGGTTTATACACGTTTTGGTAAGTATGAGAGTAATTAGTTGGTAATAAAAAAAAATATTTGTTTAAAAAGATTGAAATAGGTATAAATTTTGTTGCTGTTTGAAAAAATATATTATATTACAAGTTTACAGCCCAAACAACAGGTCCATTTAGGAAAACAAATAAATATGACAGTTTTCTCTCCAAACCTTTGTTAACATAATCAAGAGAAGGCCTGTACCCTATACCTATAAAATATATAATACAATCAAGCATGTTGAAACAAATAATGTGCATGGCTCTTTAATCTATGCTAGGAAAAATATATCTCTCACTCTCTCATCCCAGGCACAGAGAATGTTTTCTGAATTGAAGGATCCACTTATACTAAAAGACACTACATTTTACTATCTAATGGTCTATCACTGTTATCTATCAACTGAAGTCGAGATGTTTCATTCACTTCACGATCTTTCACTCCACCAAGTATTTTTTTACAAGTTAGTCTGTTCGTTTACTCCACTCACTGGTACAGTCAGCTATAGAAGTAGACTACCAGAAGAAAATATACATTTTGGATTAACTGAAGAATATTTAGTTTTTAAATGGCCATTTTCAAATATTTACTAACAACCCTGATGAAAAGATATTCTGTAAATGCAGCATCGCAGGATCCATCATTTATCAAATACCGCGTGCAGGGATAAAATCCCTCACCAGTAGAACATAAATCCCTCGAAGTCTGAGATTGAAATGATTGGTTGATGAACTCGAAAGCATTGTTGCTATTTCCTTCACAGCTGATAATGGGCCTATTGTTGCTGGACCGGCACAGTTAGTCAGTGTAGTGGATTTGTTTGGAGTTCAAGATTGATTGTTGATAGTATCAGGAAAAAGCTATGAATGCTCCATTTCATTAGTTTGACAGATTGAGACAAGATTTCTTAAAGTGGTATTAGGCCTACTTATTTTTTAAATGATGTTTTATATACCTACAACATTTTTTAATTACTAACAATCACTATAACTACTTAGAGAGGTTATGTTTTCATTTATAACCTCTCTTGACACTGACAGTGGTGCACAGAATCATGTACCTTGTACCAACCACTAATTGCACCACTCACCACAATCTATTTATCTTAATGCTCACCACTCATTAACAATTAAATTACCGCTAAAAGCAATGTTTTGTCAATGGCATTTATAAAAATAAAAAAATGTTGCAGTCTTTGTACTAAGTGAGAAAGTGAAGATGTATGGATGGATCTTTGTGACAAGTAAACACCAAAAATTCTGGTCGGATTGGGCTGATGATAGCTCACATTCCCGATTAACATATAGACACATTATTATCTCAAAAATCCTTTTGGGTTCAGCCCCAGTTGCTCTGGTGTTTCCCATGTTAACCTTCTGAGTATTCATATTTAAAAGGAATAAAAGAATTGTGTCAGCTGTTGCAACTACACATGTTGGTTCTATGATATTCAATAGCATTAAGCACAAAGTATAACTGCAACAAGCATTTTATACTTATACGCCAACCCCTTACGAAGGGCAGGCACTCTGCTAGTTTGTAATATGTTAAACATTACCTCATGATAGAGCGTCTGCCATAAATTGAAAACTTCTTTCGTTTAGGATTTGTTTATAATCAGCTGTTTGCTTTAATTGTAACTATGGATTACTGTTTGAGATTAAGAGAAAGCAAAGGGGACTGGGGAGTAATAACTCTACCCTTTTGTTGATGTTATTGATTTTCATTTGTAATTTCGTTGCCAAATTAAAGCCTCACTGTTAAACATTATTGACTTTCAAGTTCTTTTTTTACGTAATTTGATTTTTCTTGCATGAAACACGTTTTAAGGCCAGAAATAAACTATTTACAATATTTGAAGAATATCGTCAAAGCCGTTTTCTATAAAATATTGTTTACTTTAAATATTATACTGTAATACAATTAACTTTAATACTGATTCAACTGAATACAGCTGTCCATTATATATTTAATAATATTTTTAAATATTTATTTCACTGCTAAATAAAAGTTTTCTAACAATAAATTGCCTCAGTACTTCGGGGATTACGTTATCGTGGGAGAGAGCTAGGTTAAATTATCAGTATTTGATTAGAAGTATTTTCCCCTGTATCGAGTAATCTTCTTCAGTGTAATCTTTGCTCAATAGTAATAACAGAATTTTTTTCCTTTGTACTGTATTTTGTAATTTGCTAGTACAGTATACTGTTACTTCTTCTTTCCGTGTCCGGAAATCAGACTTCGCTTTTCCAAAACTTAGCTACCGAAATGGCTTTGTCATTCGCTTGTAAAATATCATTTAATGTGCAAGACTGGTCTAGGCGTGGACAGATCAGCAGATGGTCAGGAACCTGAACAGCACCACACGCACAAAAGATGTTTTCTTCATCTGGTGAGAGACCCTATTTTTGCATGTTTGTCTTGCATTTTGGTACCTCGACCCTGATTCGATTTAGGGTCTTCCACACCGTGTAATGCAGGCCTCCACCAGGAGCCAGTTCCTCCCTGGCTAGTATGAGAGGGTTAGTCAACGTGGCCTCCCACCTTGCCACCCGATTGCTTGAGAGTGATCCATCCAGGACTCGTGTCCGTGATAAAAAGCTCTTTCTGGACCGAAGCCGTCACACTTAGTCCTTTCTGCGTCGGCAGCGACATCACGTCGGATTGATGGAGTGGCGATCCCTATGATAGGATAGAGTTTGTGTACTGGGATTGGTTTCAAACACCCAGTTACAATCTGAGCCATGTCATTGACTGCAATGTCAACCTTTTTTGCATGTGACGATGCATTCCATACTGGTGCAGCGTGCTCCACAGCCGACACACTGAGCGCTAAAGCTGAGGTTGTGAGGACACTAGGGTTAGCACCCCAGCATCTGCTGGTGAGCTTCCTGATATATATATGTATACTGTTGATGGCTTGTTATGAACACATGTTAATTAAGTCTTTTGTTTACATTTTCCTTATTATTTTGTTCGACCAACACTGGTTACTTAGCAACCCACAAGGCCAATGTAAAAAAATGTGACTTTCAATTTCATTTTTTTACGTAGTTTGATTTCTATTGGCAGTTTTAACTGCATTAAACACGTTTCTGGGCCAGAAATAAATTATTTACATACAACATTTGAAGGAAATCGTTGAAGCCGTTTACAAAATATTTTTGCAAGTATACATAAATAAATACATACATACAAACAAACACTGCTCATATAAGAGTATTGGAGATTAGTAAAAAATATATATATGTTTAAAAAAAGTAAAATAAGGTTGCCTGATGAAAGTTGCTCCAACTGCTTATTTGGTGTTAATTAAAACTAAAATGCAATCATTCTACATGTTTTGCTTCATCTTTTGAGGGTGTACAGTATTCAGCAGTATAGATGAGTAACCTTTAAGTGGTCAACAAATGTACAGTATTTTCTTTCTTAGACTTCTCATGAAAGTATAGTCTTAGGCCTATTCCATTTTACATTATTACTTAAATTAATGGATTTGTTGTAGACATGAATGAAAAAATAGTTAAATGTACAATATACATTCTAGTAAAAAAATACAATTGAAAATACCTCAAATTCTAACTAAAGAAATATTAGAATACAAAAATATAACGCTACCAACAAGATTCGATCCGGGTATTATGGGTTTGAAGATCAGTATGCTAACCACTACACCTCATTGGCTATGTGGAATACAGAATAACATTATACACTATACTAGAACACACTACTGTTAGAAATGACACAGCACAAGAACTATATTCAGATATTCTGTTATCATAAGTCAAAGCTCTACAATATTGCCTAAAAAAAAACTCCTGTGTGTTACTATTGATGCTGATCTCTCTATGGACAGATCATATTAACACCTTAACAAAAAAGCTCTTTGCCGGGATCCATGTGGTGAAAAGGATTAAATCGACTGCAGGCATGCAAGCAGATAAGACAAATATTTTTCTTTAGTGGAGTCCCATCTCAGGTATGGGTTGATATCATGGGGAGGAACATCTGAAACCAACCTTAACAAAATCCTGGTACTTCACAAGGCCATTAGGGCTCTCATGGATGTTTACCTCGCAGATAGCTGCAGAGGCGCTTAAGGTCTCAACCGTCATAGCACTTTACATCAGTGTGGTTGTTCTATACACTGACCATAGCTGGACCTTTACAGGATTGGAGTTTTTCACCCATACCAGACCTGAAGAGCAACAGATTTCAGCCTTCCAGCACACGTTATAACTCAGTTCAGTAAGAAGCCATCCTATATCGGCTGCAAGATTATCATTACACTGTCCCAAGACGTCTAAAACAAAGACTACGGGACTGGGTGATGGAACAACCTGTTGACTCAATCAAAGAACTCTTTAATCTTTTAAATACTTGTAAAGCAAGAGATCTAAACAAACATGACGCCATTGTATTTCTTTTGAGAAATCACAAATATAGAAATTCGTCTATTGTCTATATCGATAGCTGAGCATAAAATAAGCTGAAAGGTGGAGACCTTGATATGTCAATACTGATGGAGGAAGGGTGAAAATTTGAGATAAAGTAAGATACGACCTTCATAATTAAATTTTTACACACCTAAACCTTTAAAACTACGCTTACATTTGCTTCAAGAACAAGTTCCAAAAGGGTCTTATGGTCTGTCTACATTGTGCTTATCAAATGTACACCATTAGATATTTTTAGATTAATAAGTGTGTTGGTTAAAAAAAATAACAAAACAATGTAGATAAGTATACAAGAATCATAGCTGCTGCATACACAA